CGAACATTGATGTATTACGGTAGTTGGATATATCAGTATGGAGTACGTACGATCGTATGGCTCAGATTGTGAGCTCGATACGATATCTTAAGTGGTAAAAGGGTTCCGCAATTGGAAAAGAAGCTGGAGTGATGCTTTTGAATATCCTCGTGTTAGTATAGCTTTAATAAGCTGACCGAAAGCTAAAGTGAATGATTCTGAGTAGATTCGTACTCTGCTTCCGAGGAAGACATCTCGGAAAGCGCGTCAACGATGACAACGATCATTACAAAGTGGATATTCTTGGCCGGATATATCTGTCTGAACTGTGAACTTGAGAGGGTTCTTCTACCGCGATGAGTAAGTTACGAACTCCATTGACGGACTTATGGATCAGCCATTTAGTATCTGTATCGTGCGAAATAGGTAGTCACCGTCTCGGTATCAGCATGCAATTTTGATCAAGTTGTTTGGAAACTAATGGTGTCCCTTATTTACTACTCGGTTTTTCTAGTCTTCCGTTTGTCTATGGCCAACTGCTATATACCGTTGTTATCACTTTGTCCACGTGACAGAATTTTATCTTGGGCTTGTAACAAAAGATGGATATGTAAGTGGCAAGAAATAGCGCCTTTCATCGCATTGCCCATAATTAGTATTGCACTAAAGGAGGCAAAATAGCTACGAGAATAATGCTGGATATATAAGCCACGCGCAACAGAGACATAATAGCTAGGAGTAACACTTAGAAGTGATGGGTTACTTTCAAACGTGGCATTGCCTGTCTAAAAAACGTATTTCAGTAGAATTTTCCACTCAGACGAAAACTGCTTCCGAGTCACTCGCCAGAAGAGAAATCAATAGATGAGCTCATATATTTTAACCATAGAGTCTTTGCCATACGCAGAACCACGTTTTTCGCTTGGTCCTGCGGTTCAGTTTTTGGGCGTCAAGGGGGAACGATTGCAAATTTATTTTTCTTCCACCCTATTTTCAGGGCTGGAGCTGGGGCTGGGGGGGGGGGGGGGGGGGATAAAATTCGGTAACTAGGACAAAACGATGTTAACGTTTTTGTATTTTCAGAATAATAAGTTCCTCAATAGCGCATAACGCTATTGAAGCTATTATTAGAACTGCTTCCGGACAACCTAACACAATTGTCTATCTCGCATCAGCTGTTTTATTATAAGAAAATTATATGCCCGTAGCGGTGACAGGTCGGTTGCTTCAGGTATGCTGTGAGTTGTTTCATCCTAAAACTGGTAACAGCCGGGCACGTAGCGTTCCGCTTCGTTATTTTATGGTTATGTCCCGCTCCCAGTGCAGAGTAAACTGTGGAGTATTGGCTCCGAAAATTATTAACTTAACTAGCTCTGCATAAGCCCCTCTTTAGTCATTCAGGCTTTTTATCTATTAGTTTAAGACTTGTTTACATCTTTAGTAAGATAATTGACTTTGTCGATCTTTTTTTTTTTCGAAATAGTCGAACGTTAGCTCTTTATAGGGTCTCCCTAAATCGCAGCAGCTATCCTATAATTTCTTCATTTAAATAGCCATATGGCACGTTTCGAAATGTCACCCTTAACATTTTGCACACTTACACTTTGTTTTTCTTATAACTGTTTCTGTTATAGCTTTTCTTTCCACGGCAGGAAACATTTAACTTGGTCAAAAAGTATCGGCTATCATCAAAAACGCTATTCAACTCTACAGCCTCTAACCAATAATGACGCGTATGTATTCGACTCCCTGAAATAATTGGTAAGCTCTATTTTGAGTTAAGTTTATAATGTAAACTTAACAATTAGTGAAAACGATAGGTCTACTCGCAGTTCAGAAATAAATTAAGCCATAGGCATGTCTAGGATTTGGCATTACCGAGGAAATCCTGTGTTGTACAATGAAAAAAGCGTGTGGAGCTATTACTGGAGTGTAAAAATATTGCCAAAATATGCATCTATGACATGTTAAATGTAACGTCAGCTCAGCATTGGAAAACTGATCTTACGTTCCTCGACTTTAGTTTTGTTAAAGTTAAATTCGAGAGATCAGTTAGCTGCGTCGACAAAACTTAGGGAAAATAACGATGACAAATTAGTACCGGGCTCGATTAATGCAACAATAGGTTAATCCTGAATAAATACCCATGATAATAAAATTACGGATTGATAACAATAATCTAGGTCTTATTTCTAGAAATGCTGAGATATTGTTTTGTTTAGGGTCAGCCGCCGGTTATCTCAATTCTCAGTGGGCCGATTGACATCGGCCCATTCCTGTCGTCGAATAAAGACACACGTAAGATTTGCTGAGGATCACATGGCTACATCCAGCGTCCGAGAAGCGTTGACTATAAATGAATGTGTCCTATGTGTTCAATCGAACGGTACTCATATTTTAATGACGAATGGTTACGATAGCAGACGACCTTGAAAAAACCATTATATAGTTTTTTCGAACCCAAACCATGTCACTATCTCTACATCATGTCAGTGTTAGCTTTCGACGACGGCAGGCGCAGGACAGTCGAGGCCGTTATGAAGGGCGTCACCTTAAAGTATGATGGTACCTAAAAGGGTCTAGTATCATCATCAAATCATATTGCATTTAGTAGTTTTCAATAATAATTCGATTTCGTTTATGCTTGTGCCCTATTTGTAGCACAAGATCGTAGGAGAAACACTAATGTTACACAACAAACATCTATTGTAATCGACAAATCCATTGAAAGAATCGTACAAAGAAACTTTTCCCGACCCTATTCACGGCCTTATCTTATTTCCATCCAGCTCACATCTTCCACGAACGCTTTGCAGGGCGAAGTCTTTAGCTCGAGACGACGATAATTGTGATTTCTTAAAATAGACACTCGCTTGTCGAAAACAGCCCGGAGATGGCGTCTGGTTCGCTTGTGTTAAATTTTGCTATCTTGTTTGCTTGAACATAAAGCTCAGATCTGCAAACTGTAATATATATCGTGGCGCTAATAATATTATTGTATATTGAAAATACCATGGTCGAACTATAGTACACTGCCGTGCTCCTGAAAAAATAACTACAACTAAACAGTTTCAAGGACTGTTCCGTGAGGACGCAAACATTTTATCGGCCTTCGATTTATCATAAGGGCTCTAAGATTGGCGGCCGAAAAGGGTTTTGACAAAGAAAAACTAATGAAAGTAACTGAGATAGTGTTCTGATATTCATTTAGACCAAAAATGCCAGCCTCACTAAATCTTTTTACCTTCGTCGTCTGTAGACCCTAGACGACACGTAATGAACGTTACAAACTCAAGTGTCAGCTCAATGTTTTGACCATTATTACTATCGTCGTTGTGAAACGGCCCGTTAAAAGCTGTACCGTATGCCTCGTTCATACGTGTGCGTTCGGATGTGCGCTCGCATGAACTCGTCTCGTCTGCTTTAAGGAAGACATATGTATGTATATCCTCTTGGTCATCCCAATACTTGATAGTCATACGTTGATTTGACTTAGCTTCATTTAGTCGTCTGGTTGTTGGCCGTTAAGCGTGATGCCGCTGTTCTAGCTAGCGCCACGTGGCGACGGTGGTAATGATTGCTACCATTACTACCGTCGCTATTGCTGCTTCTATCCGCTAAATTACTGAATAATATATGGTAATGTGATGCATAGTAGCGGCTACACTATCCAGCGGCCATATCTTCTCCCGTTCGTGCCGCTCTCCACGTTTATTCATTCGAGCGACTCCTGATGTTGAATGCCAACTCCCCTCTTTCTACCCTCTCGTTCGTCCCCCCCACCCGGTACAAGCTGCACCTACCGTTGCCCCTTTAACCGAACTTCTTCTCTTAACTCACTCAAACATATATATATATATATATACATGTATATATGTAGTAGAGTAGTCGGGAGAACGTCGTGAAATATTAACAATATTGAAGCTAGCACTATGTGTATATACGGTGCTGTTAGCTGCCTGCCTGTCTGTCTTCTGTGGACAGACAGACTGCGGTTTGAGAAGATGGGGGCTCCGCAGTTTCAGTTCCGCTGCGATCTCTACGAGTATTGACTATAGCTGTTCATACTGCGTGAATATACCTACAGATAATCAATCAATAATAAATGCTAATAACAAACGAAATTTTATGCTACGACGACAAGAATTAAGAAGTTATGTTTCGTCGTACGATGTTATCGCTGTAAATAACATCAGGACAACCTGAGGAAGCTGCGAGACCTTGAACGATGCGAACAGCTGCCTTTTGCAGCCCATTGATTTGTTAGTACTTCTTTCAAAATTGTCATTGCCGTCATCCTTATCGATTTGGATAAAAGTAACCTCTAAAAGTTACACAGGGATGTCATATGATCGTCGTTTCCAATGGGTTATTCCACTGACTCTAGTTGCTATAACACTAAGTACCTACATCTTCATTTATTCGTACTAAGTTAACGTGTAACATTTACAAGCTAGCCAAGATACAATTTTTCCTATTACGTATCGCTCAATTAAGGATTCCAATGAAACTAAGATGCATCTACTGCTAGACACCTTTTAGGAAGCCTTTAACATATTTCAATTCAAATTATGATGACTATTAAGACCAAAGCCAAAACGAAGTGTTTTCATTTGTACGAGGTTGAACACAAGAGATTTCACTGCTTGATATGACTAGCTAAAAGAACCCTAATTTTCAACTGCATTTCTGTGCCCCTCTAAAACTATGCTTATTATGAAAGTCAGCTTTCATCAACACCACACACAGAGAGTACACTAAAGTGGGCATTTGATTAAATCAATAGAGAAGTAAGTTATTCCTAAGCGTGATACAAGCATGGAGGATGACTTTTCTGTCGAAAATTGCACGTTTGCTGTCTGTAAAGCTCTATTGGTAGGTACGAACAAATAATAAATACACGCGTTACACGGCCAATATATTTGGCAGATGCCTATTATTTGGTTCCGCGGTCGCTTCGAATAATAAACTTACTGATAATTAACTGGTGATCAATTTTTGTCTATTCTCAATATACATACGTGGTATAACATCCGGACCCTTGTTTTCGTCGGCGAACCGCGCAAGCTCCGTGACGTCCCCTTCCTCTGGCAACGGAATCTGCGGCCTGCGTCAATCAAATTTGGCAGGCGGCACAGCAGAAACAAAACACGGAAACAGCAGAAATAGAAGGGTGAAAGATACAGCACATAGGAAGGCAAAATTAATTATATACTGTGAGCGACCTACGCTCCCTCTTCTATTCAGAAATGTTTCACAACGCGGGGGGGAATGTGGGAACGGTTAGGCGGCAACAGGCAGAGAGACTATGACGATTGACAGGATTGGCAGTTTTAATATCTAGTAGGTGCAGCAGCCCTTCTTAGGCTCGCCAAACGTTTCCAGTGTAACCATCTGCCCACAGAACGAAGTCGCGCAGGAGGAACCGTCATGCTTCTTAAGAAACAAGCTACAAACGTAGGCATTCCGCCTTACGCGCGCAAGCCCCAGCAATAGACCTACATATCGTACGCCTAGAGGGACTTCGATCCCACAGACACCCTTCGAGGGGAAAAATGGAGAATAGAGAAGGACCTTGGTTTCCTCATTTCCATTTGTGTAGCGTCATTTTCCTTTTGCACACCACAACAGTAGCTCGTGCATATGAAAAAAAGAAACTCCAACAAGAACGCGTTTTTTGGGGGGTGTAAAGAGTACTCACTTTTCATCTGCGGCGGCAGCGCGCTGTTGAGCTATTCATGGCGGATCCATTACCACGTCAGTGTAGAGCAATATCGGCGATGGATTAAAAACAGACACAAGTAAGCACAAATATTTAACGTTAATAGACCGTCGATACAATTTTTCCGCGTGTACAATGCAAAGTTTATAACTGGTTATCTAAGTAGGTTTATTAGGTTGGCATACAGGTGGCTTCAGTCCTTCCGCCGAACAAAAACACAGGCTTTTACTCGAATCCAAGCAATAAATGTATTTATTGTGCTCGCAAAAGAATCTCTTATTTAATCTTTTGCAGGGCGGGTTCTACAATCTTAGTCTTGAGAGGACTAACATGGTCGTCAAGAAAAATGGCTTTGCCTCGTTTAGTCTCGTCGGGCCTATTTAGCTGGATAGCCTCGTTCACCCGATACAGCTGAGCCATTAAAAGAAGCCAGTTAGTTAGATGCGTAGAAGAAGACAAGTAAATAAAAAAAAAAGGATACACAGGTGGTCTTTTTCGACCATGTTTCAGTATATAGGACGCTTATAGCTAACGTAAACTTATTGTGGCTCTGCGTTGCTCGATACCGGGTGACATGCTGAGAGGCAGTGAGAAGGCGTGTATCTTTATGATGTTCACCTAGTTTATGGGCCATTTAAGCTCGAAACTTTTTACAAACCCGTAGATCTAAGGTGCCACTTGATATGATTACAGTTATTTCGATTCAATAATTGTCTGCCGTTCTTCTTTTTTTTTTTAGGTATCATCAATAGGTACTTATTAACCTTAGATGGACGTTTGGGGCGGGGTGCATCCTCCACTTCCAAAATACCATTTGTCCTCGCAAACTAGTTTTAAGCAGCTTTTTTAGTTGTAGAATCCCTGATTTACACAGTATAAATTCGCAGCCAACAGACCTGAGCAGAAAGCAAAATAGTGTCGGAGTCGAAAATGCACTATTATCATTTCGGATCTCTGTCTTCGAACCTGAATTTGACCTTAGTAAAATTTAATTCACCACACAATTTATTTTACTTATTATTGCTGAAGTTCCTCCATTACATCCGCTAATTGGGTCCTTGAACGTCTAACAAAAACAATACAAATGTAGACACTTCAGCTTAGCATCGATGTATGAACTTCGTTTCGATGTAGGTTAGAAAGGTTGCACACCAAGTGAGAGTTACTCCGTTTTTTTCTTTGGATTTCGTTTTATGTGCTTGTGCTACCGTTGCTTTTAACTAAATCATGGCTGTTTTTTAGTGAGCCTGCTCTATCTGCTCGTCCCTGTCTCGATGGCCTCAGTTGGGCGGCCATGGTCCCGACTGACGATAGCCAAGCTGAAAACGTGTCGAGCAGGCCTTTTCAGCTGCAGTACGGTTCGATTCTCTGCTGCTGTCTCTGCTAGAGTGCAAGTATAGTTAGTAGGGTCCGATAGGGACAGAACCTGTGTGTCCTTTTTTTTTCTATTTACTGGTCTTCTTCTATGCGTCTGACTAACTGGCTTCTTTTAGTGGTGCAGTTGCAGCCGCTGCGTTAATGAAACGCGCTTAGTATTCCACCCTCGCTGCCAGGTTCACTCATTTGCTCATCCTTATCACGCCGTCGTCCGCAGTTAACTCGGAACTGTTTCTTTTTCGGCAAAATCTTATTCAGATATAAATTCGCCGGAACCAATCCGTACTGACCATATATATGCCACATGGTCATCAAAACTACGTTAAGAACATCTACCAACAGATTTCTGATCGTCGACTAACGTCGATAAATAACCGTTTTGTTTCTTACTCAGACCCATCTTGTTCTACTTCTTCTAAGCCAACCCATTTGTGCTGCTGCTACCTACTAACTGAATTAAGGACAGTAGTAGTGAAATCTGCCTCGCTATTCGGCAATGCAACGACAATTTCACACCATAGTAAAGTCAACGGAACTAGTACCCCTTGTCTGTTTAATATCCGGTCATCTTTATTGTTGCACGAGAGAAGGTGGTGTTTTCTGTATCTGGATCTAATTGATCCTCGAACTGGCGCCTAACGTACGGGTACAATATACGCCTATGTCGTTATATAAAAGGCAATTTTGCGTACGACTGGTTCGCAGAGATGCGTTGCGATGAAGCGCAAAAATACGGCGTTCTTCCTCATTGACTCCGGCACCTCACTACAAAGTCTCGCTCGCAACGACGTACTACGATAATTTTTTGTATCATTGGACTTTACTTTAAACAGAAGCCCATGACGGAGCAAAGCGAGGTGCGAAAACAAAGCGAACACACGATTTTTACAGAGAATTTACGGGAGCTGAGCTCATAGACTAAATCGTGTGGTGTGGACCACGTTACCCGATTCGGGGGTGACCCTGAGGGTGAGAGGCTGATAGTGGTAACAGTAGCTGGGCAAAAAGCATGTACGTGCTGGTGAACAGACGCTAATGATAATGCTGCCATTCGCAAAGGATAGTTTTTGTGTTCAAGCCTGGCATCTCGTTAATTGGCTTCTTTGCTAAAATGTCATTCGATTCAAACTGGTCCCCTGTCGCTTGTTAGATGCTGTGCTAGTTCTGCTTCGTACTGGCATTTTCACACTAGATGATTGAAAGCTGCAGCTGGCCAATATAAGTGCAACTGTTCCTGTTGTTATCTTATTGCTTGGTGCAGCATTTAGGCCCGGCCATACAACTTGCGGCGATGGGCGTCAAGCAAATTATGAGCAATAATTGCTAAGGGCCTGCTTTGCCCCTAATGCGCTTAAAATACCCGCACTGTGCCTTCTGCGACACTCGAACTCACTAAGATACAATAGTCAACGACGTTTTCTGTTTAGAAATAGTTAAGCAAAACTTTTATGCCTGCTCTATGATATCTCCGGCATGTTCTCTCAGACATAAATCTTATTTGGACTGACCTTACCTCTGTCCACACTTATCCAACGAAATTTTTGCTTAGCGTACGTCCTGCAACTGTACACATTATGGCAAATGAAAATGCTTTACCTAGTATCGTGTTGCATGGAGTGGGTACATGTATTTTTTATTTGCAACCGATAGATTTCAAATTGTTTCGCGAGATATCGGGATTTTTTCGACTATACTTTATTTAAAAAGTAATGTATGTTTACGATTATATATGGTTCTCTTTTATATTGTGACACGTTTCATAAAGGTCGTCTTGGTACTGATGACAAAATCATCTTGAATCGTATTGCAGTATCTATCTGCGAGCACTCAAGTGAAGATAACACACTATGAGGATATTCGGTGAATTTCTAGGTGTACATAGGAAAGAAGGATGCTTACAGCTCTTGATGACTTGCCGAGTCCTGATCTTCATAATGAGAATGATCGTGAACGCGACAAGGATGATTCCCGTTACAACAAATATCAGCACAAGGATCAATGGACTCAACGAGATGTGCCACATTCCTGCAATCAGCCAAAGAGTAAGTACAGTGAGTGAAGGACTACATAAACGGGAAGGCGAACAGCGTTGCAAAGAAGGAGAATGCACCGCCGTCGTTTAACCTCCACGACGTTGTTGACCCCGAACCTTCAAGACGCAAAGGAAAGCCCTCGAGGCTGTAGGCCCAAACGGTCATCGACACTGTGCGCACTTCGCCTTCTCTTTTGCCTCTTCAACGGTAAAGAGCCCAGGCTGCCTTTGAGTTGGTGGCCGTTCGATTCGTGGCGATGGAAGCCGGGAGGATAAGAAACGGGGTACGAGAAAGGGGACAACACTAGCGAGATCGCAGCGCTTTGTGGATCGCCTACTGTGGTAGCCAAGATAGCCTGTCTTTGCATACAGAGCACCATCAAGAAGTAGAAATATTCAACGCTGCGAGGGAAACGCATTTCGCAAGGACGCCGCCTGCTGGCGATTTGAAAATATCTTCATACGCGAATGAGAAGCAGGAGATTGAGAGAACTTCTTTGCCGCCGTTCGCCATCCAGAAATTTTTGCTTGCTTCTAGCAGCAGAAGCTTCTACCAGACAGAAGCCACCTAGACAGTCTAGCTCAACCTCGACTTGCTCGAGACGAGAGGGTCAAGGCTTGGTTAGCTTCCTTTCCTACTCCTTCAGTCGACCAAAAGAAGCTGAGTTCGTCAGGAAGTGCAGCCTCAAAGTAGTTGGAGTTGCTAGTAGTTGGAGCGGAGTTGCTAGTGTCGAGGTAGAAGGCGGATGAGGGTTAAGGGCATATGGGGGGTAGACAGAGATCTTGCTTTGCATGACTGCGGTGCTGTTGGAGGTATACGCGTTGATGGCTTAGCCTGAGGCGAAGTCCTCGTACCGCATGCAGATTGGATGTGGCGGAAGGAAAGCTTAACGCCACTAGAACTACCAACAGCCACCGGCAACCGCTTCATTTCCCAATAGTCGTCATTATAGCCGTAGCCACTGCCGAATAACGTAGAGTATGCAGGCGCACAGGCGAACGAACAAACATGGTTTTCTATTTAGCTGGTGAGCGGGCTGCTGAAGTGGCGAATCCGGTGAAACCGGTTGCGGTGGAAAAGGCTAAATCAGTAATAGTAACACCCGAGCGAACCTCGCTGCTTCTAACGAACCTCAACGGCGAATAAAGCTTTTTTGTCGACCGGGTCAAATAGGCCGATAGACTGGTAGGGCAAATAGGTAAAAAGTTGGTTGTAAATAGAAGATCAGAAAACTTTATACTGAAAATTGATGATGTCTAATTCTAGGAAAAAAAAATATAAGGAATGTTATATGGGCCACGTGTAGATACATCAGATGTCCCTTGCTTACTCAGAAACTGTTATTCAGCTCAAATCCATGTATCTTGCAAAATTAAGATTCACTTTTTGTTTTGACTGGTTTAACGGTACTACACAGTTAAGAATACCCTTACAAGTGGAACTTATTGTTAAATAAAACGATAATATCGTTAATTCATACATACCTCTGCGCGTAAGTGATATTGGTGACGGGATCGTGTGCGCAACTATCACAGTAGGTGGACTCTGACCTCGTGCGTTCGCTGCCCAGACAGCGATCACGTAGGCTGTCGCTGGTGCGAGTCCGGAAGCTGACATGACCACTGCTGGCTGGCTGGCCGGCAGGTCAACAGGCCCAGACACACTACCACCAGATTCATCGTCACTTCCGATCTGGGTGCGACCAGTGGACAAGAGTGAATAGTTGCCTTGCAGAGTACGCTGTTCAGCGTCGTGTAATTCCATATGAAAGGACTGCTCAATACCTCCATCGTAGCCTTCCTGGCAGGCAATTGTCAACGATTCCTCGGTTTGGTTGACCACTGTACAATTATGTACCGGCTCCGGCGGACCTACGAACGAATAAGCAACACGAACGAGAAAAAGAAAACGAGCATAGGAGAAGCAGGAAGAAAAACGCTTTATCACTAGGAGTAGTAATGACTGGACGAACTTGAAGTTCGAAATTTTTCAGTGCACGTTGTTGATCAAAGTAGTACGTCAGAAGCTTCATTTAATAACAGCTCGTTCTATGATGCATAACTGTGTTTCTCGAACGAAGAGAATCGAGAAATGCGCAGTTAAACAAATACGTTTATGATGTCGTTATTGACAAGCTTGCCCGCATCTGTCAGTTGTGCCATTCTTGAACTGGCTGGAAAGCTGGCTAGAGGTTGCCGTTGTGCCAATAGTACAGCAATGTCATCGTTTAGCCGAACAGATGGAGAGCTTCACTATTGACCTTTCAACTCTTCGTCTTCTATTATCAATCATTGGCCGTGAAATCTAGTAATGCTTGATTGTAGCGGCTAGCATGACAGCTAGGCTGGAGTACAAAAGGGCTAAACACGAAAGGAACGGGAGAGAATCAAGAAATCGTCTCCTTCACGTTTGGCCATTAACAGGCTCTTTTGTGAGACAAGCTATTTTTTTCCTGACAAAGAAGATATAATTCTCAAAGGTTTCTTTGCCACGAGGGTAGATTCATCTTGAAAACGATCAACCTTCTTAAGCTGCGTCGATTTCCCCTGGCAGCATGGCACATTAGGACACAAACGAAAGCGAAAAAAAGCCTTACCGTTAAAATATTTGAGGTGCCCCATTCCCAAACAGTACGCGGCCGAGACGACCACCGCATGACGACCGGAGAAAATTCTTACCCGCAGGAATCAGCTGGAAGACGCATGGTTCTCTCTGCAAGCCGATGCTGTTCTTTCCCCAGCAGATGATTGGACCATAATCCTCCTCAGTGTGTGGTACAACGGTCACACAGGACCGAGTGCCATCCGTATGAACGTTACTGGACGAGATGAGCTCTTTGCTGTTATTGAAACGCCATTTAAACGCGATTTCAACGGGGTCACTTTCTAGTTCGCAGAATATCTTGACTAGCTCATTTCGGGCGGCCCCGTACGTCGTCTTCTGTTCGCCCTTGCACACGGGAGCGACTGCAACGAAAAACGAATCGGATCATAGGATGGGCACTCGTAAAAGGTAAAAATAAAGGTGCGTTTTAACTGATAATTGCGCACATCTAAACTGCGGCTGTGACCCGAACTCGAAATATATTTTTTCAGTTTATCTGTCTGTAGTTTCCCAGCCCCCCATACGGTTCTAACTATATGCATATATCGCAACGTAGTGCGACATGTTTCGGCCTAGGGTAGGCATAGGGCCCTAGGGTACCCTATAACAAAATGAAAACGATATCTGAAGATCCCTTCGAAACTTGGCACCAGAGGCAGAACGTAGTCGAATTGTAGGTTCGAAGCAATCGTAAAACGATTTCATTTTCGTCGATTCATTGGGGTGGTTTACTCTATCGCGTTGTGCTGCTACCCAACGCGCTCCTAACTCACATTTCAATAGTGCAGACGGGGAATATAGAACTCCTCGAAACCCCTTGAGCTGAGGAGTCCGTGTTCAAAAGCCTTATTATTTGGCGACCAGGGTGGCTCAGGCTGGCTGGCACAATATTGATAGCAGGAGGCTGATTTACACGGTCAATGAACAGACACTCGGAACCTACCACCATACCTACAGCGTTTTACTTCCTATTACTTGCTGATGAGAAGCATCCGTCCAAATGCATGCACTATCTACTGCCCCCAGATGTAATTGTTCACGTGATTGTTATACCTCACTTCTAGATCCCTAGCTGATGCATTTTTCCCTGCCTACGTTGGCCTTCCGCAAATGACTACAGGTATGTGCAACGGTTTTACATACACATGAATGTACAACCGTGTGGCAAATAGTTTCTCTAGCTTTTACATTTTTAATGTCACTAAATGTCGCTACATGCTTTACATGTGAATGGTTATGTATATATATCCCCTCGAAACTACATACAAAGCTTAGTTAAGATCATTTTATGATTTAATTGTTAAATATGTTCGTTCGATTAAATTTTCTGCTAAATAATGCTTTCCCGATAAGCAATGCTCGTTGTTGGTTCTATCGTTACTTTTAGTGGTTCGCTACATATTATGATACAACACCCATATCTGAAGTTATCTGATTTCCCTTAAAAGTTTATTGTTCGTAGTTTATTTTTTCGCGACTATAGTAAAGCTTTTCGTATCATCGGCATTCTATTTGTTATTACTATCGTTGTTTGTATTATAATTGGTTACCATCGATTATAAATGGATTTCTAGTGCCTATATAGTAAGGTTTTCTATGCGTTCTTCAAAACTGCTCCAAGTATAAGTTATCGTCCGTCGTCTACTTAATACTTGTTATGGGTTTTAGTATTATAGGGGCAATGCTTTAGCCGTCGCAGCTTACTGCTTTGTTAGTAACACTTCGTCATTGAATCTCCAACCCTGTGTTTGACCGCTCTGCCTAGGTTTTGCTTATTGCCACTTACCCCTTTCGTTCCAGTCCCCCGACCATATAACCCAACCCCTTCTTCGCAAAATACTGCATCCCGGCTGGGCGCTTATTGCTTTTTCTTGCCTACTGGTTACTGCGGCAAAGCCTTTTCGTGGCCTGGCTGGTCTATTCCCATTGCTGGCCGGTTATCGTTTGCTTTGTCGTTCCTATTGTCTAATCCATTATGCATTCGACATAACCGCGGTAAGGGAGTCTACAAGCAACGGCCGGACGAGAAAAGAAAACATCCATTTTCCTATGTGTGCCTAAAATGTGCCTGTCTCTCGTAGGAGTTTGTACCCTACTCGTGTGCTGGCTCGATGAGCCGGCATACTTTGGAGGAGCAGCAGCTTTACAATGCTTGCTGCATAACATCCTATGTTCTAACTGTGTGGAATATTTGTCAGTGTATGTGAGTGTATCTGTATAAACGTGTGCGTATACCTATAGGTGTGTAAGAGTACGGCATACTTATAAATATATTGATGATAGTATATTTTTCATCATAAGTGACTCGATAGAAGGCCTATTGTCCCGGAGGAGGGGCGAAATACCATGGAGGCATTCTCAGGAGAAATCATCCAGAGAGTTTCGAAAATAGCTGCCTTTGTTTGACCTTAGATTTCATTGCATTCACTGCCAGGTCGGTAGAGCAAGTACTCCTAGACTGGCTAAAACTCTTTGAACTCCTTTTGAGGGTAATTTTTCTAGTCCCGGCTTTGCTGCCATTGTGTTTGTGTACCTGTTTACGTGTGCCTATGCAAGGTTATGGATCTAGCAACAAAGCGTGGCCTTAAAAATACACCAGCAATTCTGTGATTTGAAACTTTTGTTGAGATTTATACTAATTGCACTTAACGTAACCCAGTAGTAACTTAATACTCGAAAAAACGCTGAATCATTACTTGCTCTATTTTTCTGTTGAAATGTTACTACAATATTATTTTCCGCCTAGCGTATATACCTTAACGATATACCACAATTCGATAACTCACACTAATTAAGCATATTCCAGAGGGACGACTAAAAGATATGTAGCTGCAACATACTCGTAATGTAGAATTGGTTAAAAGATGTACAGAAGAAAGCTACTTCCTGAAGCTCGATACTAGTGTTATGTTAATACTAGTGTTATGTGATATGTTAATCATTCCCAGTTAGCCAGCGTCTTAATAAACACGGTTAAATCTATTACATTCATCCTTGAAAACAAAATGCAATCTTTTTTTTTATCTATCAACACATTTGTTTGTGAAATATAGCTCTTATAAAAGCAATCAAACACCAAAGGATGTATATGTAGATATATTGCCTAAATATCAAAGGTTATGATGATAAAGTACATTAGGAATATTCTAAGTTACGAATATAGAACTATGTTTTTCGATGCCCATAGAAAAACGTGTGCCTCAACGATATTTCTACTTACACCTGACTTTGAGCATGACGGCGTTACTTTCGCCGGGCCCCTGCGCGTTCGTAGCATGACAGGTGTACCTGCCTCGGCTGTAGCGATCCACCTTTTGTAATACAAGGCTCTGACCGCTTATGATTACACCTGCCGAGGTGTTTGTCTGCACCTCTCGACCTATATGAATCATAGCATAAAAGAAAAAACGGCAGGCATATGGTTACGCCTAGAAACGGACGAAATGCAAGAACCTATGCTATGTAGCTTTTGGAATAAGCCCTAAAAGGTGAACCCTGGAACCCTAGTGGGCAAACGGGAGGGTATATCATTTGGCCTGAAGGTTTGTAGAGGAAATCCATGTTCTAGGTTTTCAATGCCATTTGGAATCTTGCGTCATAGCCGTGGATGGAATGAACGAAAACTCTAGTTCTTCCTGAAATAGTCCTTTGGGAGTTACACCTAATACCACTAGTACGACAGCCCAAACGCGTGTCGTTCCCGAAAACGACATGCAGGTGGAGGATACGTAGAGGACATACTGACAGAAGAGATGACGCGTTGGTAAAGCGGATGGTTACTGCAAAGAACACATTCGTACCTTCAAAACGCCATCCGATATCGTTCACCCAGGGGTTGGCGCGAATGTCGCACTCGAAAAATACATCGTTACCTTCCTGGATATGCTGGTGCCGAAGCTTGCTCCCGAGGCGCAGGCTCAGAATAGGGTTGTCTGGAATGGAACATACGACCTAGAACGTTAGCCTATCGCAAACCATTATACAGCCAGATAGAATGCTCTCTGTTCTCTAAATATGAATAGGTTTCACTTTATCGCCGCATTTGCTAAGAGTAGAAGTGCGTATACGTTATCAAGCGAACGAAAAAGAGCCGACTGGAAACACGTGTTATTATATGTTTGACCAGATAAATATCTATACAATCTTTACAACACGTCTCTAACAAGGTAGTGTTGTATAAATTATGTGAAAAATACGTGCTATATGTATTATGTTATTGTATCGTATATTTAGTACAGGAGTAAACATGGCCTACTATATGTATGCATGTATAGATTAGACGCGAGATACATACAGTGAACTTCGAGCTTCCATCCGTCCTCGATGCGGCTGTTTGCGATGAGGGGATTCTCTGCGCGGCACGAAAGGTGCTTGCCAGAATCATCAGCCGTGGGCACAAATGTTAATGCACTTGTGCTATTGTGCGAGGTCGAGTTCATTCGCATCCCGCCTTTCCACCATTCAATAACCGCTGGCGGGCGCGACCCTGACGCGCGGCATTCAAGCGTCACCGATTTGCCAGCCGAGAGCGGCTGCTGTTCCCCTTCGATCCAGACGGACAGAGGACGGACTATAAAACAAAATAAAACACATGATTGTAATAATTACTGCAGTGATATAATGGTAATGGTATACCAACGCCGCTCTATACCAAGCGCGGCATACCCTCTACGCAATAATGCGCACGCTACAGCGGGAGGCCATTACCTGCTTTGCGGCTCTCTACTATATAAGTCGATCAATAACAACTTACACACGGGACATTTGAGTTTACTGTGACAATTCGAATATCCGAAACCAAATAATGCAAGAAGAAGAATAAGAAAATTTTTGAAGATGTAGTAAGCATTTACACCCTATGATAATACAGTATATTTACTGGCGTCGTCCTTTCCGTTTGAGCACCCATATGCATCAGTCATGAGGTCGTTAATGATTTCCGTAACAACAATCATTATACAGAAATCTGCCAACAACAACAACATTCAGGTGTGTGTGTGTGTGTGTGTGTGCATATGGTAGAAATGACCATAAACACTGTAGCTGTACAGGTGATAGGTATGTAGCATACAATCTGTCAGCCCTATATCGATAAATATGTATGCAGCGCTGTAAACCAATCCACGGGTTGTGGCTGGCAATAAGTAAATTAGTTAATCGGTACCCTCTGATCCTGCATACGTTTAGACGAGCGATAGCCGATCCATTGTGCAGCCTATACAGGGAACGGCAATTAGTAGTCTTCCTATTGCGTTAGTGAAAGTCGTAGTCGTCGTCGTCGTCGTCGTCGTCGTCGTCGCCGCCATCGAAGCCGACGAGCGACGCTGAAGGGAACGATCAACATAAACGGGTGGCTCGAAGAGTAATCGGGAGTAACATGGCCGCAAGAAAAGATCGTGATGACTTCCAGATATCGGACAACGTCCAGCCGCCACCTAGAGGCTGCTTAAGTGTATCGGGTTTGACTTGCTGAACGAGGCTTCGAGGTGTCGGCCACCATCATTACCGCCTTAGTAGCCGAAAAAGGCCCGTGGCGTACAAGACGCAGTGCTACAAACACACCAACAACATGACCTTTCGTAGAGCTACTCCTCAGGTTTAATCAATATTGAAGTACCACCAGTGAATTTTCGACGAACTCGTTCGCTGCCGACGCTTTTTCTCAATGTCGTACATTATATGTTTCTTTCACCCCTTTTTTCCATAGCTACATAGCTTTTCGCTATCACTCTGTCATTGCTCGTTATTTCGTAGTGACCTAGTCCCTGCTTATGGCCTATTTCATCTAATACTGACCATGTAGTAATATCTGTACGGAGCCACCTATGAAAAACTATGTACTTCGTTTATCTCCTCCAGTTACAGTTGCTACTAGAGCTGCGTGCATCATAACTTCCTGTCTTCTGCTTCAATTAAGTTTACTATTAGCGAAATAAAGTGACCGAGGTATCAGGCAGCAGCTTGCTAGTGTCAAACTAATATGCTCCTCGGAGACACATGCACCGGGACATCCATCTATGACTCTGGGAGTCATCGCTATGCCTACGGTAGTTATCAGTGTTCTATGTCCTATGATTGTTACTATAGCTACCGTCGCCTTTATGAGCGCGGGTAAAAAAAGGGGCGAGCAAAATAGTACTAGAATGACGTCAATTAAGATTGCAGACAGAACATGGTATTAGAGGTGGACACAGAATCTAAGGATTGACGGAAAGAGATTCAGCTCATAAGAAGCATGAGCAATCTATGAAAAGCGGCGTCGCCGTCTAAACAAATGAAACGTACTGAGCGCCCGTACGAATGAACAAGATTAATATTACCAATTGCTTGAGATCTACGGTGACTGCTGATGAGCGAGAAATCGTTGTTTTCTGTAAAAGTCGGTAGCAAACGGGCAGCATAGTGGCGACTATGAAACAAGACGATGGAAATCTAATCCGATTGATCAAAAACCGCGCTTGCCGTACCCCTTCTACTACACAACAGATAGGTGAGATGATCTCAGGAGAATGAGAATAAGGAGAATTAGACGAAAGGAAAGAACGCTGATGAACAGCTCTCGCTTGCAACGCTTCCTTTTCAGCAACGGAGGATATCGAAAACAGGATTGGAAGAACCAACAGTCTGTTACCACGGGATTGCTGGGGACCAGTTAACAGTGCTGAATCATTCTTGATTTCGACTCTTATCTCTGCACTTTGAGAACACGCATCAATTAACATTAGATAGTTGGCAGGGTCTAAAGGTTTCCCTCCAGATTATACTTAACATTGGACGGGAGGTTAGTATATCGACGCTAATGGTACATGATGTCAGCGACAGATAGCTGAAAATTATGACAATCAAGGGATTTTTAGTCATCCATATATCTGTACATGGAAATTTGAGGACTAAAATGTTCTACTGCAGCTTAGGTGTTGAAACAGAGCGCGTTGGAAGCGCAGTCTGAGAAAAAAATACACGGTCATTTTTTTAAACGGTGTAGAGACTTGGAGAATATGGTGGGCGGAAAGAAGCCCTGACTTGAAATCTTGCAAGGCGGCTTTAACGATACTTGTGCCAAGTGTGGTCTTACATTGTTGTAGAAAAGATTGACTTCGCTTCTTCTAACGGACCTTTTAGCATCACTCATTTTATGCAACTGGGTCATATATTTATTATTGTTGACCGCCAAGCGTTTCCCTGTACATAAGAGCCTTCCAATTCTATCAAGCCTCAATGGTGGCTTTTTTAAGCGAAGATCTAGCTTAATTCTAAACTCCGGCATATTTTCTAAACATATCTTCCCTCTTTCTGTTTTATATGGACATGGAGACACCATTTCTCGTTATCCGTGACAATTCATGGCGAAGCCTATCAGTGTCGCTATGTTCTGCGGCGGCATGTGAGCTGTAGAAAGACCATAAGAAACCGTGTTTTCCTGTTTCCCAGGCCCTTAGTTTTTCCGTAAATGCCATTCAGGCATAGGACGTCCAGTATTAGCACTAAGAATATGTATATATATATATGTATACGTCACAAGCCATTCTTGTGGACATTGAGACCAATGTCAGTTCGGTAACAGAGTTTCTATTATTTAGCCGAAGCTATCCATGAGACGAAGAAGAATCATCGCAATAGGCTTTCTAAAACTTACAATTGAGATCGACGATTACGCTAGATGATACAGGATACGAGATATTATTATTGGACGCAGTACAGGTCAGAGTGGCCATCAGATCGTTACGAGTGAGGGCAGGGATTTCCAACACGTTCTTCGATATTCCGTTTGATACGTTATAGTGGTCATCAAGTAGAAATGACTCTCGCCACCATGTTACCACGGGTGGAGGATTGCCTGAACAAAAAAATTAAATAGAGTTCAGTTAGCGTCAATGGCCCATGGCGACATCACACGATCCTTGCGCATCAATTTGTGCAAATGTCAGGTTCTTTTTTCACCGCTCGGATCACATGTTCCCATATGGTCATGGCGCGCCAACGGCAGTAATTAAATTAGACTATTTAACTAATAACAAAATACGGTTAAAAATGAATTGAACCTAAAAAAAGACATCAAGCTAATAATGCTTTTGCAAAAACTGATTTGGCACTCAGTGGGATTTGGCGTGACGTTAGAAATTAACTCTGTCTGAGAGTCCAATGTTAGACTGATGGACGTATCGTAATTACCGAATTTTTGAACGACGAAAGAACAATTGAACGTTTCAAACATCGAAGTAAGTTGTTTGAATTTTCATATAAGATAAAAAAGTATGTTAAGTTAAAATTGAAAACGTTCTATTCACGATTAGTAGATGGGCATAAAATAGACATACCTGATCAAATTTAAATAGAAAGAAATAGAACATAGGATGGCTAACTCGATTAATTCAATCACAACCTTCACCGAATGAAGCGATCCACCGCAAGCTGAGACCATCTCACTACCCTTGATCTGTTTAAATGGCTCTCATCTTAAAGACTCTATGAGTCTGTCATGCTTCGGGTTAACTTTTAGCTGCCTTTAGCTACGTGCAAATACTTCCCAGTAATAAAGGAGAGATATTATAAGCCGATATATCCCATGATGGATGGAGCTAAGAAACAGACAAACATTCTGCCAAACATACTGTTCTTACCAACTTGCGTCTCTTTTCGTCCTGTCTTCCGACGACGACGATGATGACGAAAAAATGTTAAAAAAAGAAATGGAAAGAGTTAGGGCCCTCTAAATATCTCTATCTCCCACTATTATTATAATACAAAACAGCATTACTCCTTGTAACATGAGGCAGGTTAGAAAGCAATAGTTCCTCTCAATCGTAGAAAGGGGGATACACATTACCTCGTGAAGGGTACACAATTCGGTAAGCGATTACTCATCCGTAGTCTAGAAAAGAGCGTTGGCACAAACAGACACAGGTATTTCTACTGCAACCCGACAGAAGTACGAAGCGAACGCGACCTAACAGGAAAATCGGTAGCAAATGTGCTCCCTTTCGACAGAGGCAGTATTGACGATGGCGGCAGCACTAGCACTTGTGTGTCGAGGAGAAGCTACTTCGACTCCTATTACTGCTGTGCCACCAGCTATGTAGTAGCACAACGATGAAGATGTCGTTGACCGCTTTCTCGAATCCCCGGTGGCCCAGCTGTAGCAGTAGCAGAGCCTGCAGTAACTTCCTGTTCCGACGCACAGCCCTTGTTGGAAAATGGCCGCACAGGAGGAGAAGAGACGAAGTAGCAGAAGCAGCGAAATTAAAATGGAAACTCCTTCCTGAAAACTCCGCTTGGAACGACCATCGACCACACAATCCTATCGGTAGATGGGAATTTGTGCCTCGAGCAGGCGGGTGAAACTGACTGTGATACAACGACAGCAGAGGCAGCAAGAACAACAGTACTAGCAGAGGTTGTAGGCGTTCGCCCTGGAAGGCACGGTCCTTCCGGATGCAGCCTTACCGATGGTGCTCGCTTCGTCGTTTGTTGTTTTCCTTTTTTTCTTTGCCTACTTCGGGAGGGAGGAAAGTTTGCTGCATACAGCTGCTGGTTTCTGGCTGATAGTGGTGACCGGATAAGTTTCGGTGCGTGTGAAAGTATTTGCCCCTTCTCAGGGCTCATTCGCTTTCCATCTTTACTTCCAACCGGCGAAATTTTTCCGCTGCTAGTATTCCTTTTCCTGCTGCTATCTCCGCCGCTACCACCACGCTTTCCTGTGGTTGCTTGCTCCAAGTCGATCTCCAGTGAGTGCGCACCGCGTTTTCCCTACTCGAAGTCTTAAAGCCGGCTTTGCTTTTTTCCTTCAGGACAACTTAATCCACTGCTAATAGCTTGCCTTCTGGTTGGCTACAGGCTTGCTGCCTGTCCTATTCTGTTCGTCTATCGGCTCCTTAGAGGAGGCATAATCGAAGACTGGAGGGACGCAGTAGCGCGATAGCAAAATCCCATGTGCAACGAAGCTTGGCGTCGCCTATAAGTTCGTTACGTGTGCGCTATGCTGCGGTGCTTCTACAGCTAAGCGTGGTTTCTGAGCAATCCTGTTGCACGATTTCGTGGGCTATGGTCTCGTCTTCTCTTTACCACAGCACCATGATTCACTTTTCGGCGCAGGCGATCCTTGTACCGAACGATCTTGGCGTGGTAAATAGAGATAGTTTAGGCCCTCATATTAGCGAAAAGCACGAAATATAAATACGCTGCCGGTAGGGCATGTGGCAAATAGACCGACCGGCAGATTTTCAAGTCGGATGGCCGTTCCTTTCCTTGACGTAATATGAAAAGGAAGAACAATTGAGGTTGCCTGGAAGCGACAGACGTTACCCAACACCCGCTTACCTCCTTCGACTTGACAGACGAGGATCAGCTTGTCTCCTTCGTTGTATGGACCGATGACACTCTTCGATGGTAGGATCTCCCTATTCTGGTCACTGATGATCGGTTCATTCGGCGGAACTGAAAGGTGTCCAAAAAAGACGAAAAATAGCCGCTCACTATATAGCATGCTGTTGATATTATTTCTCTTCCAAAGCGAGAACTCATACTCTCTTATTTCTTTCTCCCCAAAACACGGGTTTAAATACAGCCTAATGCGTCAATCGTCTGCCTTTGGCCAAACGGGTAGGCGAGCTGTCGCACATGTCCTACTTGCATCACCTCTCCACACTGTGCCGAGCAGGCTGTATGTACATACGTATACACTTGCATGTGGAAAGGTTCGTCCATTGACGAAGCCCACAATATAATGCAATGTGTCTTATGAGTGCATCACTGAGGATTAAGCTCAATTGCTTGCTCCTTCTTCTCCGTAGCTGCATTGCAGAAATGCGAGTGTTTTGGCTTATGCTCTCAGATTGCGATGAAGCGCCACTTGAAATAAGTGGCGCTTCATCGCAACGTGAGAAGCAAAGCTGACTGAAACTGTTGATGGCCATATAAAAATACTGAACAGGCATTTGGTAACTAATCCCACTCTGAAAGGTGCCTTTGCCAGAATGCGAAAGAAATCTTTTAACTAGATGCTCTTGCTCGCGAGTATCGACTCTGGGAATATACGTACGAGTATGGTAGGCGAGGAGATGAGCCTGTAAGTGAGTACTTGTATAAGTGGTTCCGTGTATGAACATCAGACCCAAACCCAAATTTGTGTATGAGTCTCTGAGTGAATGTGTATATATATATCTTAACACTTACGCTTTGTGTACGCAATAGCAAAACAAAATCATGGTTCTTTGCTTTATTTCGCTCGACAGATACCAAGTTATTATACTTTCGTCGCCGTCACGGGGCCCGTGAGGTTACGCAAGTGGATACGATAGATTTGCCAGTTTCGTAGTCTGTGTAGGAAAAGGAAGCGACTACACTAACGCGGTCTAAAAGCTAAATGTCTTCGTTTTAGAGCTGCTCTTCGACTTTTCAGCTGCTTTCGTCGTTTCTACGGAACACGAGATTGGACGGAGGAAAGCGGCAAAGGGGCAACAAGCGTTGGGAAACGAGAACATGCACTGCCGCCTTTTCGCCATATCGGCCACCAATTACCAGTCTTACTCAATATAAAAATGAGCTGAGCAAGTGTAGAAGACATTGGTCTTAGTCATTGTCGGCAGGCATGGAGAGCTGGGGGGTGTCAAGAGGACGAAGGCTAGGACAGTCACACAGAAAGCGAGAGAGCTATAAAGAGAGATCTTAATAGCAGAGAATAGGTGAAAACGCCAGAGCTTCAAGGTACAAAGGGTCCGACGGAGGCGCAAGAAGTCCAAATAGAGAGAAAGCAGTTGGTGCTGTTCCCCTGCTACTTACGAATAACCTTGAGATGCACTTGATAGTTCCGTGTACGCTCCTTCTTGAAGTCCACTCGGCACCTGTAGAATCCGTCATCGCCCTCTTGAACCGGCGACAGTTGCAACAGAGAAGGACTTGTCTCGACTTTGAGGAAAGCACGATGTGCCAGCCAGTCGATGGGCGAATGATGCGCCTTCCGCAGTGACGTCTTGCGCGCATCCGCTGAGTAGATAGGTGTCGTCGAGTCATCTCGATACCACAATACCAAAGACACTTCATCATCACTCGAGTTGGGGGCAATATTGCATGGAAGCGATGCACGCTCGCCCAGGACCCCGATCACCGTGATTGTCGGCTCTAGAACAACAAACAATAATACAGTGTTAGCAATAGAAAAAATGCTAGCATAAAAATTTCACTCTGTTTATCTTAATCCCAGGTATTTATATTGCTGTTTGTTCAATGTAGATACTAATTCATTTAAGGTGCATATGCCTTTTCCACCGTTTCAGCATTTCCAACCGTGACCATAGGTTTCAGCTTGCAGTCTGTAGCAGCATGTGAGCTAAATTAGGGGCCTAATCTATTACCTCAACAACTGTGTGTTTGGTAACACATATATGTTATTTGTGCATCTTGTTTTCACATTTATTCTATACACCGCCAAGCATTTTTGTCGTAATAGCAGCACAATAAGCTCACTTGGCAGTAATACACTGTGACATTATAAGATTATGTGCTAGTGACAGACGTCTATATTTCAACCTTCTCCGCATGTGCTTCTATTTGATTCTCTAGTTTTTTTTCATAATGGCGCTGACTAATCGTCTGGGTATTTGGGGCAATTTAGTTATCAAGTAAGTCTATTTGCGTTTTAACTGTACAACTACAAGATGTTCGTGTAATCTGCGGCCTATGCCCTCGACAAGCTGATCCCAGAAAGTTATTGTTTGGGGGATGCTTGTTATAATTGACACCTCTGTATACCTGGACGTATTGCTGGTTTACATGTGTACCCACATCGAAGCGCTACTGCTTTCTAAGCTTTCCTTATGTTCCGACAATCAAACACTTATTCAAGTTAATTTATCGCAATATAGTTCTATGTCACCAGCGCATATATATGTCTGGTATCGGCGGGGCCCTAGCTACAAAAGCCCACGTTCTGTACATATATGGTAACTTCATTTGCACGTCTATGAGAGTCGATACAATGAGTAATGTAAGTTCAGTAGGAAAAGTCAGCTGGGTGGCCGGATACTCGAGAGTGCAGAAGCACTCCCACATGATACTCCCACACTATCACGCCGCAAGGTGCTCCTGCAGAATTTGCAAACTTGATTTCAAATGCATATCTGTGGCACGAGCTGTGCGTGTGTCCCAATGAGAACAACGAAGTCTGTTAAGTTATTGTGCATTTACTTTAACTATGAATTGGGGATATTCCTTTTTGTTATGAGCACATACATATTTATTAAGTTAGACATTAATTATGACAGTGCATCAACAATTTACACTTTAATTGTTGTGTATGACCAAAATCAGTCGTAAGATGAGTAAATCCTGTTGTTTTACTTTCATTTAACTGGCATGCATTTTTGTATAGTATTTTGCCAATGGTGCTCAAACATAGGCACGTTTCAATCATTCAACCTGCTTTTTAAGCCAATTGCTCTGTCTTGATTTACTCAAATCAATATTCATCTTTGAAAAGCGCGATAAAGCCTTGTTCTATTAAGGCCGCCATAACCGTGGCCTTGATGCGCGTACAAAACGTATCTTGGCCATGAGCATCACATGAGGATAGTAATTACTGTCACTATCTGCATGATTAATATAATTTTCGACTTTTCGGCCAATTTAGTGTTAGTAGGGTTGACGTACTCGCTCTTGCTCGTCAGGAAATCGACGTGGTTTTGTTTAAAATTACGGGACGGGTGATGCAGCATCGAGGCTCGATCCAAACTCTACCAATAATAAATGGATGTATTCAAGGACATAGTAATTCCGGTCTTTGAAATCACCACAACTGTTGTTACAGATTACGGGGTCTTCGGCTCAGTTTCTGGCTACATGCACCCATATTACCATAATTACCCATAACATCAGCAAAGTATGGGTTAACGAAGGATATTTTGTCCGTTTCGCTCAAGCATTTCTGACAAAATATCGGATAAAAAATGCATGCCATTAAGGTGAAACAATTGATGATTTGCTAATTTTTCCTTGATATAGCCCACCCACTATATTTTATCATTAGATTATAATTAAGCTATACATTGTTGATACGCCGTTGTGATCGGTTTCAAACTTAATGAACATGCACACGTCCACAGTAAAAAGAAAGTCCCAATTTCTAACCAATGCGGTTGGTTCGTTATTGGACATTGTTTCATTCATCGCTCAGATTGTCTTTGCACCATCATGAATATATACACAACTTATGGCATTTGCAATTAAGCTGTATACACAAATGGTCAAGTGTCTCCGTGTTCCTGATAACGCCCGTTAAGATCGTTCGCAAGTTCTGAAGCGACTTGGCCACACGCTATTTCGAATGCTGCATACAGAGGCACTGCTGCACGCTTAATATCCAGCCATTAGACTAACTTCTTTTAATGAACTTAACGAATGCTTGCTGTCGACTGGTCGTCTTTCGTAGCCGGTAGCGAATTTCAATGAAACACGCGCTTACCCGCTACGGCTGGCAAAACCCCCGACGCCTTAAACCATTTTCGATCGTGCCATAGTCCGTGCCCCCTTTTCTCAGGCGAAATGGGTGAGCACGAATGTGCAGAGCTACTGAACCACCTCAGCGGTAACATCCCATTACCTCATCCGCCTTGAATTCCTTTTCCTGCTTTTAAAACATCTGGGAGCATCATCATTAGAGTATTACCATCACCAGTGCAATCCTCGGAGCTGTTTTGGCAGCTCCTCCATTAACAACTGGAATCTTCGGTGCCAGCTTAAGTGAAAACGATAGTCTGGCGACGCATCTGTATATCTGCCAACGGGGTAGAAAGGTGTGTACAATTGACTGTGCCCTAATAAAATGAGCCTTGCTCCGAGCACAGGATAGGCAACATTTCCTACGCGACTGATCTGTTAACCCGGTTCATAGTCATGTCTTGTAGGGCTTCATAAACAATTCGATTAGTGTGAGAATTGACGTTGGATGGACTTAGTTACTGTTCCAACGCTACACATATATACATATATATTGTTATACACCTACATGTACTATATAATATGAAGACAAACACAATTTAGGCACCTTCATTAGCCATAAGATTATCTATATTAATCATAATATTACTACCATCCATTAGTTTGCATTAGCCATAAATGATACGTATTCTATGGATGTTGAATGTACACCCACGCGAATCGAGGAATTCTTATGTATGTCGAATATTCGTTAAATAAATATATAAACAATAGTTTTGAACAGACGCTGGACTGTATATACATTTGCATACTGTGAAAACACTATGCTTTACAAACACGTAATTACGTGTTTGTAGGACGCAATATACGAATAGAACTGAGAAGAAGGAGCTATATTATTGTTCACAAAAGCGTTTCCGTGACAAGGTCTGAAACGTTCTTTTCAGTACATCTAGCGAGGTCTTCTTTACACACAGGAGGTCGATTACCGGATAATGCTCAGTCTAATACCGGAATAACAGAGAATATCAAATCTCGATCGGATTTCCTGTTTTTCGTAAGGCATGTTGAGAGTACGTGGAAACCTGCGCTTCTATACCCTGCTACCTGCATAACCTGCAGCTTAAATCCACTTGGTAGGAGTAATTCAGCTTGCATGAACGATGAAGAGTAAAAATTTTTGAAAAAAAGACTCTGTGACCCGTCGCCTTACGATGCAATCGTGAAAAGAGAAAACATGGGATTGGCGGTTGGCGGGGAACGACCACCAGGTTTTGTTTTGTAGGTCAGCGCTCAATCCATTAAAACGCCGCCAGCTGTTTCTATGGCTATGGCCGAAGGTACGAGCGGTGTACTTCGATAGATCGTTCAAAAATAGTCGAAATATCCGCTGCTATGAACTACGGCGCTGTTCCTACTGCGAATACTCGTCTACCGCGCAAGGAAAGAAAAGTAACACCCTGTTTTTTTTTTTGCTGTTGCTGGTAGCGCCTTTGGTGGTTATGTTGCTGCTGCTGTTGAGACTGCTTATCGAGGGCAGTCGTCTTTGCCGAGATGTGTAAGGGGCAACCGGTCGTCAGAAGCAAAAAAACATAGCAGCACTAAGAGTGGGGTCGAGGCCGCGCCGACAAAAAAAAACACTTCCGTCGCCCCATCACTGCCGCCGCGCACACAGCGATACCTATAGCGGTGAGGTAGTAATGCTGATGGCGGTAGGAGCAAAAGTTGTTGTAATAATAGCAGCAAGAGTTGAAGTAAGCGAAAATCCGATCTGCAGACGTAGGCCAGTTTGCTCAATTGGACCATTTACCTCAAGGTCCCTTAAAAAGAAGCAAACAAGGCAAGAGGCGCCTCTTGAAATAAATGCCTTCCAGGCAGCGAACCAGCTAAGCAACTCTAGCAAACTCACGAAGTGTGGACCGTTCTCGAACGACTACAGAACATTCGAGCACCAGACAGGAGCCTCGCGCAGGTAGTAACTGCTGCGAAGTCCCTGCCACTCACTGACGGAATGAAGATGATGAACAGCAGGTAAGATGTGGGCAAGGGACTGTGGTCTCGTCCAGTCATTTTCGATTCCCTGCAGTACACCACGACTCAGCAATAGCACATCTTCCAAAACAAGACTCCCGTGGGAGGTTCTCGACCGTCGTTTTTTGCCATCACCTACCGTTTGCTCCTTTCAACATTCGATATGAAACAGGGCGTATCAGTTGTTCGGGGGTGATGCTCAATAACTACATAGCAGCACCTAGCCATTAATAGCTTAGATACTTACCTTTATGGTATTTCTAAAATAGTGAACAATATTGTAGCATAAGAACATTAGCTTCCACTTGTCTACTAAAGGCACTGCTCATATCGAATAGCCAGCTATTTGAGCAACTGCGTCGCCATCAACGTCGTATTTTTTTCCATACATGTTTGTTCCGTAAGTTTGAGAAGCCCCGATTCAAGGCCAAACCTATACGATTCAATTTCGGCGAGCGTACGAAAAGAATCAATCGAATCTAGGCAGCAGCACTAGCGCCAGCTAGATGGTATCTATAGTATAGAGGGGAAACAAACCCTCAGTATAACGTTTCGTGTCGCAAGTAATCATATTGCCCATTTGCTTTCAAAGCCCATCATCTCGTTTGCTTGGCTTTCTAGCCGTAGCCACGGCAACTGCTACTGTTGCTGTGACC